CCTGCCCTGGCAGAGTTCTCACCACAGTATGACTGACAAAGAATGTATTTACAGTTGCTTCACAATTTAATATCACACTCCCACTGAGGAAACACACACAGTTTCCACAGCTATTTGCTCCATAAACTAACTTTTATGTTTAGTGTTTTTCTCTGCACAGCCACGTCAAACACACTTTTATTTTCCATCCCAGTTTTTCAGATTGTGCTGCCGAGAGTTTAACACGCCCTGCTTCATACTTCAGGTCCAGACTTTTTAAGATCCAATTAGGTCACATTATGTTGTTTTATTTTTGGGGCCACGCTTAAGTGTTTTGGATTGGCTCACAGATGAGTCACAAAAGGCCTCTTCTTGTGGGAGTTCACTGACCACACACACACGGACACACAAACACACAAACACACAAAGACATGACTCATGAGGATATATCTGACAGGATGGAAACTGGGAATAAACAACTCAGTTGTGAAGACCGACAACTGTAAACCTTGTACTGTATGCTATGTGCATCTTGTATTTAGTGTATCCCTAATAAGAGTATGCAGTTTCCCTAGTGCAGTGGGATTTGTGTGCTGATATTTACCCATGACTGTCTTTTTCCTGCACTCAATTATGTGAAGAATTCAACAGACAAGTGAACAGCCTCTGCCCCTCCAATAAAATCCAGATATAACTTCAAACCACAGCAGGGAGGGATGGTTTTGGAGAGTAAATGAGAACCAGAGGCAGAAATATGAGAAAGCATCACTTCAGCAAAGCCTGCATGCAACTGCAGCTACAGAAAGAAAGATTGAGTGGAATTAAAAAAAGAGAAATACATACCAAAAGTAGAGATTTCACTGGGGATATTATGAGTCAGACCCTCCGAGGTGGGTGCACTCAAGGAGACAGCTCTCCCAGCAATATACTACCTCAAACACTGAGCGGTAAGATCCTGGATGGCTGGTTTCAGAGAGAGGGTCCGGGGAGTGTGTGTGCGTCACGCTGGCCCTGTCCGCTGAGATCCAGACTCAAGGAGAGTCCAGGGACTGTTAGCTGAGCTCAGGACCTTAAAAGACTAGGAGTGTCCAAAGGGAAATCTGGCTCAGTCTCTCTCTTCCCCTCTCTCCACTCTGACTGCTGGGCCTGAGAAACCCGATTCCCTAGTCACTGCTGCCGCACGCTGGTATGCTCCACTCCCGACACTCCTCATCCTCCTCCTCCTCTTCTACATCCCCTCCCTACCAGCCTTCCTTCCTTTCTTGCCACTCCCTCACTCCGCCATCTGCAGACCCAGACCCCCCCCCCCCCCACTGCATCTGGTGAAGGTCACTCCCCTTAACCTGCTTTGTCTCAATCTCCTGTCTTAACTCTTTCATCCTCTGGTGTGGCGATTGTGAATGCTCCGCAGAAGTCGGACTGACTCTCGTGTCTCTGCATTGGCTGATAACGGGGTAACACAATTCTGGGAAAAGGTCTTCGATGTTAAGGAAAGAAGCCAAATCATAAAACAATGGGAGATGCCTGTTACATGAACAGGTGAACTGCTTCTTTTCCCTGATAAAAACAAGTGTCTCAGGCCAAATCTGATATCTGATGATGTCCAAAGATAGCAAGAGACTGAGGAAAGACTGATAAAAGACTATACTGTAGAACTTGGCGATATGCCACATACTGCAGAGAGGAGCCATGATTAATAGATGACAGTTTTTATTACACTGTCCACTTTAATCTATATTTCTCAGCTCTCCAACATCAATGTGAGAATCATAGCTTGGCTTGAAACTGTTCTAATGTGCAAATAAATGAGTGAAACGGGTGAAAATAATATGGACTTCTGAATCACAAATAACAACACAAAGATGGAAAACATCATTCTCCCCATTGTCAGCCCACTCAAGGTAATGCACTCCTGCATTTGCGAGGCTCCCTGGACCAGGCCTATAATGACTTTAGCTACTGAAGCTCTTTCCTCATAAAATGTAAACGGACAAAAAAAAAAAAACACAATACATACTTGGGATCATCTCCCAAGGGGATCAGATTTGCTCACAAATGGAAGGCTTGGGCGTAGGTGTTTCCGTGATGCAATCATGTCCATCTCAGTCGTCGTTGAGGGTAATGGAACCGATGGGGGCAACAATCTGTTAATGTACCGGTAAAAGGAAATGAAAGCTCATCAGTGAAGTGTGTGGGGCTGTTAGAGGGAGCACTCAGTGAGCTCAGGTGAGCCACTTTCTCATCTGACTGATAAAAAGTTATGAACCTAACTTGACTGAAATGTTGTTGTTTTTCCCGTCCTGCTCCTATATCAGGTTGCCACAGCAGATCACCATCCACATATGCCCTTCCTGACACAGCCTGGGTTCAGGGGAGCAGGGGATTTTAGATTTATTTTAGAAAGTTTCTCAGTTGATTTGTGTAGGCCTTTTCTGTTTATACATTAATTTTAATAATACTATATTTTTTTCTATGCTATTTTATTATTATTCAGTCTTATTTTGTCTTTGTTCATTTTCTTTGCCATGTGATTCACTCAGTGCATGTCATTTCTTTGTTGTAAAGCACTTTAAGCTGCATTTCTTATATGGAAGGTGCGGTAGAAATAAAGTTTATTAAGGTCTTTCAAAATCAATGTCATTCTGTCTTTCCCAGTGAATAAGACTGAAAGCAGTCTGTCTATTAATACCCTGAACTGGGTGGAAAACATTTTATTTATGAAATATCTTAACCAGCTTCTGTGATTTCACTCTAGACTATATTACTGGGCCACCAAATACAATACCAGCAAAAACATAAAACTATACAGAAACAAATCTGCTGTATTACTAAACTGCTGCATGTCATATAAGTCCACAGAGGCTTCACAAAAAAAGAGAAACAACCAGTGATGTAGAAGATTAAAAAGTCTTATTTGAAATGAAAGAAGCAAAAAAAATAAAAAATAAAGAGTTCCTACTTTGAATAGGAATATTACATTGAGTTAGAGTGAAAACAGTAGTTTCAAAGTTGGGCTGATGTTACCAATGATACTGGCTTATCACCAATAAAGCCATTGCTATTGACCTGTGTTGACATCCGGATAATTACAGTGCTGTTAACTGCAGCAATAAATATTTTAGAGGCTGCAAAGTACTTTTTAAAGCCATTTTTCTTATTTCAAATTAAATGTATTTTTCTGTTGTTACTTGGAGATATTTATTATTTTCAGTCATGTTTTCTCTTCAAAAATTACTTTTATTGTTTTGATAGTGAAGTTTTATTTCACTTTAAAATAGCCAACCAGACATACTGTATCTTTCTCCCAACTTTTTAATCAACCTATTCTGAGGGATAATTGTTTTATGTCAAAAACAAATATCTGCCAATATAAATTTCATTATCTTCAACTTCTGGCATCAGTTTTGGCTTTGAAAACCCACCATCTGTCAGACAAAAAAAACAAAAACAAAAAGATTTCAGTTGTGAAAGATGCCTCATGTGTGGACGTGATGAACTGACAGACAGATCTGTGGATATGAATCCATCCAAGAGCAAAATATCTTCCTCTCTTATTAAGTCCCTTTACTTTGCAGACAGTCTTAGCACCACATTTTGCAAAATACAAAATCTAGACAGTGATGACAGGTTCCTCCTGTATCCACTGTCAGCGCATACGTTGTCCCCATCACTGTGGAGCCAGTGGGATGCCTCTAGCATCGGTGACCTGGCCCTCCTGCAGGTTCTTGACCAGCTGTGCGAGCCAGCGCTTGGTGGTGGTGTCGTCCTTCAGCACCTGGGCAAAGGTGCTGTCTTTCAGCTGGTCTGGCAAACACTGACGCAGGGCTTCTCTGGCTCTGGAGGACGGAATGGCACATGTCACAAAACAATGTACTTATCTGTCAACATCTTGCTATAAAGCAGACAGCTTGTCATATTGGTGGCTCCAAAGGGCAGTGAGGATTAGACAGCCTGTACCTTTCCACCTTTATCAAAATTACATTCACACAAATGGGGAAACTTAAACAGAGGAGAGTTTATTCTTTGGCTAAAAAATGATACTTATGGAGGCTTATTACCAAAGACCAATCCATACTTTATTTCAAGCACCACCACTCTTCCACAATGTGCTTTCCTGATATGCATTATTGATATTACTTAAAGGGATACGCACTATAATGGACCATATCTTAACTATCAGGCTGATAAACTATATCTGTAAACTTCAATTAAACATACAAAGGTTCCCATAGGAAGCTGGGTAGCAGATCCATGTGCTTTATGTGATATATGGTGAATGCAAGTGAGCGGAAAGGCAGAGCAGTGGCTCTGTGCTCTTCACTTCAGCTTGATATAGACTCTGTTATTTAGTGTTAGGGTTAATTCATATCCAGCTGCTGCTCATGAAGCTATATGCAGCCTGGTGTTTGACTGTGTACACTCCTCTGCTTTTGCGATCAGTTTCTCTCTCCTTCCTCACCTGAATATTAAGGTTTGAGCCATTTACCTCTACTTTTCCCAACTTCTAAAAACCCAGGTTCTCTTTTTTTCTGACTTAACAATGTGCTACTATGACAACCCAAAAACAAATGTTTGATGTGATCACCTGATGAGCTGCATCAGGGAGATCTTGACATCTCATTTTGGAAACAATTTATTTGCTATGTGAGTTTTAACAATCAGTCCACTTATTAAAAATAAGGACTTCACTCCAATGTTCACTCATTCACTACTTCGTATAAACTCATATAGACTCAACAGTTTACGCAATAGTGTGCAGTACACTGAGATTTCGGATCACTTTGCTGCAACTTTTTTAAAGTTATTTTTTTGGGCATTTTTGCCTTTATTTAGATAGTGAAGTGAGAGACAGACAAGAAAGTCAGGGAGAGAGAGAGAGAGAGAGGGGATGACATGCAGCAAAGGGACGCGAGTCGGATTCAAACCCATGGCCGCTGCAGTTTGGACTAAGTCCATGTGGTACGCGTTCTACCAGGTGAGCCACCTACGCGCCCCACCTCTAGCTCTTTTTAAAGAGAGATTAAACAGAGACAGCATGCTGGCATTCCAGAATCAGATGCGTGACGTAACACAACAGCATCGGCGTCTGTCCCACCATGCTAGCTCCCCCTTTTACAGACATCGATCTAGCTCCTTTATACAGAACGGTGAGGTGGAATAAAGGCGCAATATTACTTATTATTTATTCTGACTTTAGCAAGATTGGTCTTTACATCAGATGGAGAGCGCTCATATCATGTGCAACAATTAAAAAAATAATAATAATAAGGCAATAGCCAAACACAAGTTACCGGAGCTCAAAATTATATTTTCAAATTGCTGTCTCAGGCTTACAGAAGAGCCAAAGGGGGTAAAAGTGTGTTTGATAATGATGTAAAGGGGAGAAATAACAGCTAATCTGTAAGGCTTTAACCACCAAATAATTAGAACTTAATTGGAAATCCATTACCAAAATGGCAATCAATTAACTCTCTGGTGAATTCTTTCACTTAATGGACAACCATTAAACTCCAACCACAGGCTGACAAAACCATTTAACCAACAGTCCCAGCACACTGTATTAATGCCATAGCTCATGGCTCCTCCTAGTGGCATCCACTAATGATCAAAGGCATCTCTATCTGGTTTTAAGTTTTCAGGGTTGTGAGGGACTGAAGACTGTGTTACACAAATCACCACTCTATCAAGAGCCAAAAAACAGGTGACCACATAGTGTTTACTCTATCTGCTGAATACTACTCTACCTGAGATTATCTGAGAGACGAAGGTAGCAGCGAACAACATGCTTCAGCAGACGTGCAGATGGTTCTTTGGAGAGCTGCAACACCATTTTGCCCTGCAAAGAAAAGGATGATGATGATACACTGACAGAACATGTTTTGACATTTATGTCAAGTGTCACACTTTGCAGAGAGACTAGGAAGGTAAAGTCAATGAAATTCTGATGTTTCTCAAGGGATACTTACAAGGATCATGGCCACATGGGAGAAACGTTCATATGTCTGACATATGTAGGCCAGCCCTGTGTCATCCAGCAGAATCTTCTGCAGTATGAAAGTAGCAACCTGCCAAACAAAAGAAAGAGAGGAATGGTGAGCTGTACAATCCTGTCAGACACTCTCTTTTTCTATAACTTCAGAGCAAAACAACAAACAATCAAACAACAAACAAATAGATGGTTTTACTGAAACTACAGCAAATGTTGTGGAGTGACATGTTTTTCTAACTAATATACCAACAGTCATCATTTAGGTTAGGGTAAAGGTCTGTTAGCCTGTTTGAAAAGCAGGTGTAATAGTTGAGTTGAGTACCGTCTTGGAGAGTTCACTTCCTGATTCCATGATACGGAGACACAGTGGGATGATTTCAGTGGTGAGGAGGAAGTTAATCACTTCTTGTTCATCTGTTTTGACCAAGGCACCTGCGGTAAAGAAAAAAAGAATCATGAAGACACAGTTTTATGTACATAGCAATCAATCAAGAAATAAAACACTTAAACCGGAGTTTACCTATGACTCCAAGGCTGGTGAGTCGCAGGTACTCAAATGGCCGTGTTTTGCTCACGGTGTGCAGAAAAGGGTAAAGGAAAAGAGGGATGTGAGCAGCCAGAAAAGCCGACCTGGTGAAGAACAAAAGGATCAAAAGTATTTCAATTAATGTGACTTAACTTAGATAACACAGTAAATAACAAACGTAAACTTCAAGATTACATTTGTAGCTTTGAGCCTTTGCAGACACTGTTCCCTAGAACAATGAAGACAGGAGAACATCTCATTAACATTACAAGCAACTAACTTCATGAAGAGCAGGGATTAAAGCCCGAGCTCTCAGATCTAAGCCATATTCCACTGTCAATAAACATTCTTACAAAGGCACTGATTCAGTGTCATGTCTAATAAAGAAGTACAAATTTCCACTTAAAATTTAACTAGAGAGGCAAAATAGGTTCATTGTCAGATCATTGGAATTACCTTTAAAATTCACAGAATAATTACACTGTTTATTAAATGAAATACCGACATGCCTACAAACAAATGATTTGCATCCATTTGACTTATTCTGAATGATTAACAAATCAATTTCCTGACATTTCAACAAGTTCAGAGCAGATTATGTCAAATGTAGTGGAAGAAATGTCTTTTGTCCTGTAGCTACATCTGTCTGGAGCATTACATTGTTAAAGCTTTTGAAAACAATCTGCCATTACTAGCAGTAAAAAGGCATTTACAAAAACCACTGCAATTTCCATTACACAGAACGCCTCATTACCGTGTCTCAGGGTGTGAGGCGACACACTGCAGAAGTGCCAGGGCGTTGCACACTCTGTTAGACTGGTGAGCTGTAAGTGTGGGTGGATTTATAGATGGATAGATGTTCACTATCTCCTAATGATAAAAAAAATCAAATGGGGAAAGAAAGCAGTTAAACCTATTATCATGGCCACACAACAGTGGATGAACACACAAACAGTAACCAAAGAGATTAAAAAGTTTTGGATGGGATGTGGGCCATACCTGCAACAGGGCTGCAATGGTGCCACAAGAGTGCCAGAGCATTGGAGCAAGATCTGGCACCGATTCCCGTTTCTTGCTTAGTTCCAGCAAGGCGTTTTCTCTGGTTTCTGGGCTGGACAATTCATTGATCCATTGGTAGATCTTTTCCCGGTCCACCTGGGCCAGGGCTGTGACATTAGTCACAGCCTGTAGAAGAAAGGGTAAATAGTACATTCATCATTACCATCCAATTAAACCTTGGATATGTAGTGTTTATCAACAGGATGGTATGAGAAAAGACATTATATGTAGTTCTGCTCATCATTACAATGTAACACACATACTTTTTTAAACCACCACTAGATCCAAAATATGGTATCACATAATGGATATCAAGGTATTCAAAAATATCATATCTGATTTTATGGCAACTAAAAGCTTTATCCTGGCGTAGCTGTGAATGAGTTGGCTGTTTTACTGAGATCTAACTATAATTATAATTAAGCGCTCAACTAACTAATCTATACTTATACATTTTTTTATTTTGGTGGCTCAGCCATTACAAACTGTGCAGCCACATTGATCATTTATTTTATGCTTTGATGGAGATCCCTATGTTTCAAAAGACACCACATGTCATGATGAATTCGAGGGAATTGTGAATAAATTCATGAAGACTTAAGGGACTTCACTTAAGAGTTGGATCACAAAACAGAATAAAAGACCGACTTATGGTACTGTCAGACAGTGTTGAATAAAATGCTTTTAACAGCCTTAAACCAACTTGAGGAGAAACAAAAGAGGAATACTGTCGGTACCGCAACACCTGCGTACAGTAAGCTGCGGTGATCTTAGATACTCACTGCTCCCGTCGCCAGCATTCTCTGAAGTTCTTAGTGGTCCTGAGGTGTAATTAAAACTACTGTTTCACTGGAGTGTGGCGTAGTGGCAAACTAATGCGGCTGCAATGAAACAAAGTTGGAGTAACTAACACACAGTACGGACAGCTAGCCCAAGCTAGCTGCTAAATGTCTTGACGAGTGGAGTCCAGTTTATAAGCATTACAAGCAACATTTCTTAATTGAGATAACAAAATGACAAAACGTTAATATTCGCATGTATACGTATCATTAACACCCTCTCGAGCTCAAAACTAAAAGCTACTAATCAAACAAGAAAATGTAGCGGCGATTTTCTGTTGAGCAATGGAGGCAACCTGAATACAAATATACATATGAAATATCGCGAGAGGAGGATCGGACATACTCTCGGTTTTCATTTCCGTTGTAAATTTTCACATTCCCGCCATCATCGCGCAGTGTTGCGAGGCGTCGTGTGCAGGTCCGGTGTCAACAACACTCATACTGGGGAGCAGGTGAATGCCGGCAAAACAAACTTTCTGCCCTCGGAGGACCTACGAAAACGATACTGTGATTTAAAAGTTTCAAGACGAGCGCATATCATCGACAGGTAAAGGAGTGCGACGATGTAACCAAACTGTGATACTGTTTCATCACCAAATTACAATCAAGCAAATTAGCCAGTTAGCTAGCTCCCGCTAGCCTGCTAGCCGACTTGCTAATATCGGCCTCCTCCATCCATTCAGCGCCTGTAGAGGAGTGGACGACATTACCTGCATCCCAGACATTCAGCTTGGCTGTAGTGTCACCCTAGCCAGTCAGTCGTAACTTTGCTGCTTTTGCACATTTTTGTGACTGTGACTGTCTTCTCAGAACAACGTTAACGAAGTAATAAACACTGGTCGCAATGTGTTGGGCACCTTTGCTCGTCTTTGCTGCCGTGATGCAAATTGGGCATTGGGCTAGTTTGATGGCTAATGCAAACATGGGCTACACTGGCTGTTAATGGAACCGTTAGCCACTTGACATACGCGTCGCGAGTGTCCCCGCTTTGCAAAATATCCAACCCTGTTTGTCAAAATTGTCTTGTGAGCGTATTGTCTATCTTGTAATGAACCGTGTGCCGTTAGCTGTTGTGTTACGATGCTCTTGGTTGACTTGGAGTTTGTTGTGACTTTAAACAAGCGCTCAGTAGTGAAGCTTTGGCCAACGTGGGCTACATATTTGTTTCCTGGTTTTATTAGCTGATAACGTAAACTTTAAAAGGGTGTGCAACAACACTGTTATCTGTTAATGTTGGTAAATAACAAGTGCCGTTTTTTTTATAAGCTGAGTAATACTGGTGCTAATGATTGCTTTCTAATGGGTGAGCTTTATCATTGAGCTAATTGGCCTTGTTTAATGTCAACTATCTATGGAGCAATGACAGTTTTTGCCTGAATCAAACAGTTAAACTGTTCAGTAAGTTGTGCGCAGTGGTATTGGGACACACTGATATGGTTAAAGCATACTAGTTATAATCTACTCTATGTTGGCTGCTCATTTGTGTGGTTGTACTGACGCAGTTAATATAATTTATCTTGTTCAGGATTTGTTGGATCACAAGTCCCAGCCTCCAAAGTGCACCAACTGGATAGTAAGCCATGGCAACCATAGTGCCCAAACTCTCCAGCGGTGGTGCTATTAAGATCCGCTTTTCCAGCATGGACCTTGGTACCACCAGATGGAAAGAAGGAACTTTTGAGATCCTGGAAAAGGACAACAAAGTCAACCTCTGTCTAAGGTTCAGCTGTGGTGGAGCATCCAAAACTTTCCAGGTATTGTTCAGTTTATTTGGTTTGTATGTATTCAGTCATGGTTGCAACTCCCAAGACATTGCTTTGAAATCTGAAGCAGTATCTTTGTGCAATTTATTTTTTTGTGTGCATATTTGTAATGTGTTGAAAACCTTGATCTCATCTATAGAAATGGGATTGGGAAATGGGATCAGTCAGTATCTACATATCAGAAGTCTCAGGGAAAGCAGATGATGTGGTAGCTGATTCTTGATGCATGTCGTCTATCTGGAAAGACAGCAAGCAATGGCTAGCTTGGCTAGCTCTGTCATTATTAACGTTGTCAGTTTTTCTACAGTATTTGTAATAGGAATACTGGGAAATATACAGACATCTAAAATAGTCCTTACATTAGGAACCCAGCACAAAGATTTAGATGCTCTGCATATTATATCTATTTCCATAAACATACACATTTTTATTTTTAGTGTCAGCAGTCCTGAAATATGAGTTATGAATTTTGCCCAAATGAATGTTTGATTACTGTGAACTGAAGTGATTGACAATATGCAGGATTTTTTTTCACTGTTCTGACAGTCAGAAGGAGTATGTATTGAACAACGAGGTAAACACACACTGAACATCTGTAGACTATGAACATCTGTAGACTATGAGTAGAGCTGTGTTTTTAGGCAACCATCCAAAGGAGAAACATGATCATACTAAAATCCACGTGTGTAAAGATTGAAGCAAAAAGCCTTTTATTTGTTAATGTTCTGTCAAAAATATGAGCATCTACATCACACCGAGCAAATGGATGGACGGTGGAGAGGGGGATTCTGCTAGTCCAGGAGTGGTTTGACATGTTTCTGTCACCTTTCTGACAACAACCGCCTTTCTAGTCTACAGAGCATGAGGGTTTAAGACGAACAGAGCAGTGCTAAATTTTAAGAAGAAGAAAAAATGATTGAGGTATTTTGGGGGATCAGTGGCAAAAGGCACAGAAAATTTGACTGTAAAAATGTGGGTTTGTGTCTGGACCAGGATCAGGTCCAGATTGATCACATGTGCTCCCCACGCAGTTTTTCCTGTCTCTGTACATTTTCAATTCTCATTGGGTATGATTGTGATTTTATTATCATTGAAATCACAATAATAAAATGTAATGAAATTTAACTCTTGAATTGTTTCTCTTGTCCTCAGCTGAACCAGAATGTGAAGAACATTAACCAGAACCTGAATCGAATCATGCTGACTTTAAAGGACAACAGTGTCATCACCTTGGATAAGATGCCCCCCACTTTGGTTCAGAAGACAAAAGAATACCTGGAAAAGCTGAAGCAGGGGAAGCCAAGTAAGTATACCACAGCTTATTTTAAATACTGGCAGAGATTTATTCATGGTTCACAGCACAATAAAGGTGAAAGATGGAAACCAAAGGAACATGGTTATTATTTATAATGAATACAGTCATATTCATTAGCTTGTCCACTGATGATTGTGGAATTTCTCAGGACAAAAACCCAAGGTTTATGTGTGGCGAACATTGATACATTCCAGACAGACATTTCTTAATTTTCAACATATAGTGGTCACAACAATTCTAAACTGCCTGTAAACTGCTACATATTTGGATGTTAAGCATTGTCTATGTTTTGGTTCATTTGTAATGAAAAGGGTCATAGAGCTTCAGATAAACAATGGGCAGATTAGAAGGAAACGTGCAAGTAATTTTCATGTTGCATTTCATTCAGATTTATTTCTACACCGTCCTGTGTTTTCTGATTTTGCAAGTTTATCCTGTTCCTTCTCTTGATTATATGTAGTTTAGGGCTGGGACGATTATCCGACGTAATCGCGCTGTCAATTATAAAAAATTATTCGACATGGAATTTTAGTGTCGACGCGTCGTGTAAAACCACACAAGGTAAATGTTCATAGAACAAAACCGGAACTTTTTAATGGGACCGTTTATATCCATCGTCTTTGGTTTACCCGGATACAAGCGCAGCGCAAGGGCTGTGACAACGAGATGACGTAATTGAAGTCATTGACTATGTGAATGATTTGCGTCTGTGTAATCTATTTGAACAACATGGTGGCGTCTACCAGCCGTACGACGGAGCGTGTGGCGCAACACGCGGCAAAAAAAGGCTCGCACACAGTCCTCCAAAGTTTAGGAATACTTTAATCTTGACACCAACAGTGCGGTAGTCTGCAGACTCTGCAAAGTGCATCTGGCATATCACTCTAGCACGACAGTCATGCATGAGCACATAAAGAGCTCATGGTGGTGTTTAAGAAATGTTTTAATAAATATTGAAATGTTAAAAAAAAAAAAAATTGTGTGTGTGTTGGATGGGGGAAATTTTTGTATTAAATGACTAATTGGAAAATAATTGCAATAAAATTACTGTTAGGTTAATAAAAAAAATATCGTTAGATTAGTCGAATAATTGAAAAAATAATCGCTAGATTAATCGTTTAAAGAATAATCGTTTGGGACAGCCCTAATGTAGTTACCTTCCATTTTCTAATGTTTTGCACTTAAAGAACATAGGTACGTCTAAAGAGAACAGGCGACAGTCGATTGATTCTCTCTTGCGTGATCTGGCACCAATTTGTCAAAACAACCCTTTGTGATTTTAAACTGAGCAATAATGATAGACCCTGACCTCATGCTGAAGTGGCTAGAACTTATATTATGACTGATAATGGTTTCCTTAATGTCTCTAATTTCTTTTCCCATCCCAACTGTGACACCAAAATTTGATAATACTCTTACTCCACTGCTATCCCACAGGACCTACTTCATGTTCAGGGACATCAGGTCTCTACTTAAAAACACAAGTAAATGACAGTAGTAATATATAATTTGATTTAGAAAAAGAACTTGCATCACAACACCCTACGCAATTTGTCAAACAATGTTGGTTGACAATTCAGCCAAAACATTGCTCACACCTACTCCAAAAATATTAAAATAACAGTAGTTCAGAGGTATAACTTTATAGTTCTGAACTACCCTTCATTAGTTCCTGTTGAATTTTGCATTCACAAACACAATACAAGTTCTTATTCTGTCTTTTTTTTTTAGTTTTAAAATCATCCCACGGAAGCGCAAACTTCAGTGTGCTTGGGAACCGCTCTGTGAAAAATGAGACCAATCCGTCAGGGGAGAGACAGGTGAGCAGCAACACAACACTACTACTTTGTTGATTTTAAAATAATTGAAACAAACTTACATTTGATTTTAATATCCAGACTCCTAACATCTTCCAGACAACACCAAGGCGGCAGAGCGCAGAAGGCCGAGAGGACACAACACCACGGAAGCCTCTGGGCAGTCCAAGCAGAGCTGCCTCGACTCCCACTCGCACTGGACTCTCTGAGAACAGGTATGAAGTTGTAATTGCTATGTGATTTGTGCCTTATGAACAACATGATATATTTTAACTGTAACTTCAGGTGATAATGCTCAACCTGAACTCTTATTTGAAGGAAGTAGTTTTTATTTGTCAAATAGATCTAATTTGAAATTATGTATCTAATTATTATGTATCTAATTGAAAAATGTATCTA